CGTAGTCAGAGTGCCGTATCTCTATGCAGGAAGGAATATTACTTTTGTATTATAAATTAGGGACTGACATAGCACAGAGTGGGACAAATTAGTTGCCGTTTTCAGCAGCAAAATCAAGAGTGTTGTCACGAGTTGGGTTTTTTTTTTGGTTTGTGAACACATTTCGACAACGTTTTTTCCCCCCCTCTGTCCCTGGCTGCTTCGGACTGTCTGCTGCAATGTGTTGGCGTCAGCGGCGATGTCTTGTTCTTCAGTTTCCTCATCGTGGCCTTTTGAATATACCAACACCCCCCTCCATGTCCAGCCCCGCTGCTGCGCCGCTCCCACCCCTCGAGCCGCCCATGCCTGGGGAGAGCGGAGCAGGAAAGAGCCCATAGCTCCTGCTGCAAGGGCCTTATCTGAGTGCTGCACACAGTTCAGAGAACGCATCCTCTTCCTGGGGCCTCCTATCTGCCAGGAGCAGAGAAAGAACGAGGGGAATGTGGCGGCCGAAGAAGCCAGAGAGCGTCTGAGAACATTCGGGGGCCATTTTTGTTGTGTTTATACCCTCATTAGGACGTCCAAGCACAGTCATGGAACCTGGACTTGCGTTATCTCCGTGTCAGCCTTCCTGCTCGCTTGTTTGTTTGTGTGCGCATGCACGTATGTGCTTGCTTGTGTGTGGTATAACCCAATCCGTGCTCAGCACTGTTGAGGGAATGCTACCAGCAGCACTTCTCTCGGCACATTAGAGAGATAAGCCTAATGGAGGTCCCCAGGCGGTGAGACGTCGCACCACACACACACACACACTATCACTACCTCTCCGATGAAGAGGATTTCCCCACTCGCTCCATCTCTCTTCCTCTTCTCCTCGTTCTTTCTCTCCGGAGAGTAATTTCACAGTGTGCTCCAAAATGCCCCCCAGTCGTTTCTCTAAGTCCCTGCTACACGCTGTTAGCCGCATCTCTTCTGAAGACCTCTTTTCGGTCCCCCTCCAAACCAGAAATATAGATTTTCTTCTATTTGGAGGGAAAAGTGAGACTTCTGTTTTAATGAGCCTACATCTGCAGTTCTCCACTCTCCCTCTGGGCGACGTACAACTTTTGAGGGACCTGTGGCAGCAACTTGTAGTCACCATGACCATCTAGAACAGTAGTTCCCAACTCTGCATTAAAGAATGGACCCATCAGCTTGTCCTGAAATGGGAGTTTCAGATAAAAATGTCCACTGGACCAGGGTTGGGAACCACTGATCTAGAACAGTGGTTCTCAAAGAGATAGTCCACCCAAAAATGAAAAATCTGTCATCAGTTACTCATGTTCATGTCATTTACTCATGCTTATGTCACCCCATTTAATTTTTCTGCTGAACGCAAAAGGTGTTTTGAAGAATGTTGGTGACCAAACAATTACGGGTGCCATTGACTTTCCATAGTGTTTTTTTGTCCATACTGTTAAAATCAATAGGACTTGAAACCATTTAGTTTCCAACATTCTTCAAAATACTCTCATTTGTGTTACACGAAAGAAAGTAAGTCATACAGGTTACTTGGAGTGAGTAAATGATGACAGATTTTTCATTTTTGGGTGGACTATCCCTTCAACAAATTTTGCTTTGAAGTCATGGTGACCACAGTCAGAAAAAATTGGGGGAAGGTGGAAGAGAGCACTGTACATTCACTCCCCACACCTGCAATTGTTGTGTTTTGTGGTAAAAATAGCAACAGGTAGCAAGTAGCTCACAGACTGCAACCATTTGACATCATATACACAGAATGCTCTATAATGGTGCCACCCATTTGTCCAAAATATGTATAAAACGAGACCTCATTTACGTTGTATTAAGCCATAGAAGTCTTAATACCCAGGGTTCCTTTTAAGACACTACTGCGAATCTTTTAGGGTTAAAAGAGGTACAAAGATGTCCCTTTGAGGGTATTGCCCCAGTGACAAGCTACTGTACCCCTCAAGGTAAAATCTTTTTTTTTTTTTTTTAGTTCAACATGGTATTAAGATTTCTAATAAAATAAAGCAATAATTAGTGCTGTCAAAAAATTAATTGTGATTAATGGCATCCAAAATAAAAGTTTTTGTTTACATAATATATGTGTGTGTGCTGTGTATATTTTTTATGTATATATAAATACACACACATGCATGTATATATTTAAGAAAAAATTTATTTATATATAAAATATTAATATTTTCATAAAAGATAAATTTTATATTAATATAAATATATACATGTACAGGTGCATCTCAATAAATTAAAATGTTGTGGAAAAGTTCATTTATTTCAGTAATTCAACTCAAATTGTGAAATTCGTGTATTAAATAAATTCAATGCACACAGACTGAAGTAGTTTAAGTCTTTGGTTCTTTTAATTGTGATGATTTTGGCTCACATTTAACAAAAACCCACCAATTCACTATCTCAACAAATTAGAATACTTCATACGACCAATAAAAAAAAACCTTTTAGTGAATTGTTGGCCTTCTGGAAAGTATGTTCATTTACTGTACATGTACTCAATACTTGGTAGGGGCTCCTTTATATATTAAATATACACAGCACACGCATATATTATGTAAACAAAAACTTTTATTTTGGATGAGATTAATCGTTTGACAACACTAGTAATGATACAATATTACAAACTTTTAATTAAAATGTGAACAATATTTTTTTGTTGTTGCTTTTGGCATTCTCTTTCCCATTCGTTGCCAATCATTTAGTTCTCATTCCCTCTCTCTCCCAGTGATTACCTTTCTTCCCTCTATTATTTCTAATCATTTAAATGTGGGGAAAAATAACAAATCAGTCAGCATAAAGAAATGAAAAATCATAGAATGGTTCATCCTTGCATGTTTAATTTTTTTTTTATTACTTCTCTCTGGTGATGTGTGCAGAACTTCTCCAATCATTTAGTTCACTAAAACCGGCCCCTTTCTAACAATTGACCACAATCTTGCATCTGCCTCTATCCAATCAACAACTGATGAATATATACAAGTCCTGCCCTACTATTTTTCTTTTCTTTTTCGATATTCTGTTTTACTCGGATGCATCACAATACAGAAAAAGACTGATGACTACTATTGTTACATCACTACTTTACTGTTATTATAATAATATATATCACAGTATAACAATAGTGATAATACTACTGCTAATAATATTGTTTTGTCATAAAATATTTTATCATAATGTTTTAGTTCTTCAGCTTTAAGCTCTCCAGCATTGTAAGTAGTCATATGTATTTTGTTGTTTCTTGGCTGTACAAAACCTTTGCAATCTGTTTTTTTTTTTTTGTCCAGTCCCTCCATACATCTTTTGAAAAATGCAGTTTTCACCGGTGTCTCTGGCGTAATGTAGAGCACCGGCGTGGTTTAGCGCCGGCTTCAGAGCAGGTATTCTTCACTGCAAATCATTATGCATTGAGGAGGCCATTAGCAAAATGAAGACGAATGGGAGAGAGAGTCACCGTGATAAAGTATCGGAGGACGACAGTTTAATCTAAAGTGTTCCTCTGTGGTCTTTCAACATAGTCACTGTGTTGTGCTACGGTTTGGCCTGTGTTTGATTACGCTGTATGCTATGCTAGAAAGTTTGTTCTTTCTCTTAATGCTTATAATCATCGTCTTAGTTTGGCCAATGCAAGCACTGACTCTCACTCATCAGGCAAGTTTTTCAGGAATCAGTTGTTTAATCCAGTCATTTACACAGTGACTTGTAGATAACGCCCCCTTTTGAATCCGTTTCCTCTTTATATATACATGCTGGGGAATATTATACAACACAGCGTAAAAATATATTAAGACATTAACAGAATCAGATTCTTGACAGGTTGAGAACAATAAATGTTTTCTCTTTTATTTAAACTAAGTGTTTTGTAAATGTCTCTTAGCAGATCGTTCAGATGAAGTTCAGTGATGTCACTAGATACTTGGGACAAGTCTCAGCATGACTGGAAGTTGATGGACACCAGTTTAAGCATTTAATGACACGCATGCATAGGGGTGTGTGCATCAAGGTTCTTTGAATTAATTGAGGGGTTGCCCTATTCATTCCTAACAGACAACACTCTGTTTCACTGCTGAATGGGATTATTTTATCAGTTTGTTCAACTTTCATGTTGAGTTCTTTGTCTAGTCTTCGAGATGATAATAAGATGATGATAATCATCATTATACCGGTAATAACAACAATAATATAACTACAACAAAAGTACATAATAATAAGAAGAATGTAATGTGATGTAATAACAATATACTAATATTGTTGTTGTGTTATACAGTTTGTTAATGGTTTTTATTATAAAATGATCTGTATTATCACTTGATGATGATGATGATAATGATATGCGTGTATAAATTATATTATTGTATTAAACAGTTTTTAATAGTAATGGCAATAATATTGATAATAATGAACTATTATTATTGTAAATTAATTATTAGGATTATTGTATTGTATGTTTTTAGATTTTGTTTATTATTTAGATATTTAACGCTAGTAATTTTTTATTAAAACAAATAAAAGATGGTGTATAATTACCTTAGTAATATATTAATTTGTTAATTTTTGTTTTTATAAAAAGTTATATAGATATAGAAGTATAATTACAATTTATCAACCATCATCATCATCATCATCATCATCATCATCATCATCAAATAAACCAATAAATTAATTGATTTTGAATTTTATAGTACACTGCATAATTAATTTTATTATTATTATTAATTGTATGTTTGGTATGGTTATTGTTATACTGTATACAGTTTTTATATTTTGATATATTTTATATTTTAGTAAATTACTAGAAAATATACTGTAATCACAACAATAATATAATGTTTTTTTAGTTTGTATTATTAAAAAAATTAATGTTTTATAATTAAGATTTCCATCATCGTCATCATCATCATCAAATAATTAACCAATAAATGTATTTATTTTGAATTTTTCTTTCACGTCATAACTTTGTATTATATTTGTCTATATCTTTCATTTAGGGAAGCAGTGGGCCTGACTCAGGAAGAGAGAGAAGAGGACAAAGACACAGTTACTAATCCCAACCCAGAGACACAACCAAACACCGTGACCAGCACACTGATCATGCAAGAGTACTTTGCCCAGCGGATGGGCCAGATCAAGAAGACTCAGGCAGGATGAGACCCAGCCGCGTCTTCATCTGAGGTCAGCAGCAATGCACCTTCTCCACTGGCTACATCTGCCTTCATGGGGGACTCCCCGAACACCAGCCATATGGAACAGTCCAAAAAGAAGAAAAAAGACAGGGAGAGTGATAGAGATGGCGTAGAGGAAGATGCACTGGCCTTAGTAACAGGCGAGAGTGGTGAAAAGCCAAATCACTCACAGAAAAAAAACGAGAGGAGCGGGATGAGGATGGGACTGAAGTGTGCAGCGCCCCTACAGTAACGGAGGGTGCCACTGAAGAAGACGCTCCCACCACAGGAAAGAGGAAGAAGGACGAAAAAACATATTTAGAGGTTCATTCAGATGAACCTTAAACAATAGAAATTGAGAATATGGACCCTAAAGTTTCGGATAAGAAGAAAAAGAGAGAAGAGGATGAAGAGGAAGGAGTGACTGAGGAAGTGGTGTCCAAAAAGAACAAGAAAAAACAGAAAAAATGATTTTTTTTACAATTGACTGCTCTTGACTGTCTGATTTTAATAGTGAGATCACCAAATTGAATGGCAACAAAGCCTATGAATTTACAGTTATAATTGGTTTGTATCTCCATATTTAAACTATGAAAATATTAAAACATCTAAACTGTATGTGTGGTTGATGTGTTTTTCTTTGTTGTCAGGATTCCAGGAAGTAACATACTTGGATGCATGCTACAAGAGCAAAATTGACCATAGATATGTCTTTTAGTGTGTGTGTATGCAGAATTTATGCAATATATCTGATACATAGAGAGATAATAATGTTGTGCAGCATTTCAAATTCCTGAATGTAGCGAAAAGGATATCATTTTTCATAATGAGTAATATATCACAAAACATAGGGGTATTTTCATAAGCAGATTAGTTAATGTTTCAAAAGCCACCTATAGAAATTACTTAACTGATATTATTTTTTAAATTATATTTAAAGTGTTTTTATATAGTCCATGATGGAAGAATGCTTAGCTAAATTTGTTTTAAATCTGCGTTAATCATTTTCAGAACATTTAACCTAATTTAGAGAAAATAGGACTAATCAGGTGAGAAATTATGTATTCTACATAACCAGACATATATTGGCATAATTAGTCAAAATCAGTTATATAATTTTGCTTTGTTATAGATCATATAGAACTAATAGAATTCCTGTCATTTCTGATATGGCTAATTACATTTCTAATCCAAATTTCAATTTAAAATGTACTCGCCCTAGATAAAATGATCAAAATTACCAAGATAAAAATGAGTTTGTTTCATCAGAACAAGAGACATAATCCATAATAAAGCTTCCTCCAGTGAAAAAGTTCACCCCCTGTTGTCCTCTCACATCAAAATGTCCAGACATATTTGTTTAGAACTGTTTTTACTTCTAAACCATGCTTGATTTGTTCATATTTTCCTCCCGATTCAGACGAGACGACTTTCTCACTGGAGAAGTTAATATAATAAATGGGGGACTATGTATTTTGGGCAGAAATAATGGTTTGAAGTTAAAACATCTTGATGGATTTATTACGATGGGCTGGAGTTCTGTTGTGGAATATCTTGATGTTTTTATCAGCTGTTTGGACTCTAATTCTGACGGCACCCATTCACTGCAGAGGATCCATTGCTGAGCAAGTTATGTAATGCTACATTTCTCCAAATCTGTTCTGAAGAAGAAACAAACTCCTCTACAGCAAATAGCAGGTTTTCTTTTTTGGGTTAACAGTACTGATATTACATTGATTCTTAAACTGTGCTCACATGCACTCTTTTAAACCCTTATTAATTGAAATGATTGCAAATGACTAATAGTATTCAAAACAAAGGTCTCAGTTCATTATTTTTCCACATCCGTGTAAAAGGTTTCCAGTCATGGTCCTGTGCAGAATACAAGGGTAGTGTGTTTAAAATAACTCTTTTATTGTGTTTGGCGGTATTGTGAAATTTGTGACCGTCACCTCAGGCTCCATTACACTAAAAAAAATCATTTTTCACAAGCATAACTTATGCAATGTTGACAAACAGCTCTATGAATATTGCTTGTACAAATTGTGTAAAGGTGTCTGCCCGTTCACTCATATTGTTCCCTTTAAAATAGACAACAAATGACTGAAGAGTGACTTAAGTGATGAAATAGTCATTTGCATTGCAGTTCATAATTAGTTTATAGGATAAAAAACTACTTTGTGTTTGGTATTTCAGTCTTGATTCGCATCTGCCGTTTGGCCAGATTTGTCTTAGTCTTCTTAGAAATAAGTTGACCAGCCCAACATGTCAGCAGTGTTTACTGTCAGTATGATTTATACACATAGACGGTTTTGGGACATGGATTATGGGATTTAAATTTAATCTCACCTATTATGCACATATCCTTAATGATGACGCTAAACAAACACGTTTTGCTTTTTTTTAAGCGCATGATTAATAGTACACCGCTCTGCGTGACTCTGCTTTTCTTTGTCACACTAATGTGTAGCTTTGAGGTTTTTTCATAATCATAATGTCAACCATTGGGTCGAGCTTAACCAATGTATGTTAAGTATATACGACTGAAGTCTTGAGCTGGTGCAGAGTAACTGGCAGCAAATACGATGCTTTTGTTTAGAATCCTAATGTCCTTGTCACGGTCAATATTGATCCTCTCGAAATCAGCAATACCAAAGGATGTCCTGTTTTACTAGATTAATCAAATCCAATGGAACTGACGTTCTCGTGCACTTTGTTCAACTTTGTCGTGAGTTTATTAAAGAGACAATCAAAGACTAACATTTTCAAGAATAACAGCATTTTGAGAGGATAGCAGAAACCCCAAAAGATCGTCTTGTTTTGAGTCTGAGTGGGCGTATGGAGCAAAAAGAGGGAAAAGGAAACGGACAGCTTATGCTACTCAGAACAATAATTGTAGAATCTGCCACACAGCAACGGCTTAATTTGTTTATGTGTCATGACTGCCGCTATAAATGGCATCTGCTTCTGAGGTAAATCTGAAAGAATCCTCAAACCCGTTTGTGATGATGAAATAATGGAGCTACATCTTACCTATTCCCACGGTCCATGTCCAGAATCCCTTTTGAGGTGCTTGTCAAAAGGGGAAGGATGAGAAGATGGAGATTGTTTCAATCGTTTCTTTTAGAGAAGAAAACAATTAGAGGGCAGATTATTTTGTCAAAGCCTTAAATAGGGGGAGTGGGGGAAGATGTGAGATGTGTCACATTTTGCTTATGTTGTCCTCTAGGGATGGAGAAATGAGATTTAAAATATGTTAAAATAGCCTAGCCTATATTAAAACAAAGTGTTTCAGTGACACAACTTGCCCCACATAATAGGCACGGTCAGAAATACCCCTGATATTTCAACTGTGAGGTCAGACCTGCCGATTTATGAATTCATCTAACATTTATTATTATTAACTAATTTAGGAATTTTGTATGAGTTAAGAGTGTTTTCGAATGTATCTTATATTTTAGATGGGACAAAAAAGTTCTGGAAGCACTGAATGTGAAAAAAACACTCCAACTCCTAATCTTGAAATGGTAAATACATCAGAATACACTGTTAACATACAGCATGGCTCAGTTATTTTCAAATGTTTTCTGCATTTCTGTTATGATATGTGTGATCTTGTCCATTATTTACAGATAATATTGTATTTGATTTCAATTTAGAGGTAACAGCCATAGTTGAGAATATTTCAGTTAATTGAGTCCATTGAAGTATTTACCATAAACTGACAGCAGAAAATGCCCTTATTAAGGTCAAAATGCATTTACATTTCAAATAATGTCTACAAAAATGTTTTTTTAACTAATGCCTCGTTTATACATTTATCAGGAAATAGTTTATTTCAATTTTCAACATTTTGTTACAGTAAACAGTATTTGTAATAGTAAGGGAGTCAAAATGTATTATTATTATTATTATTATTAGTTGATTAACTGACTTACCCTGACGTATCTGACACACTTTACCCCATGACTTTATGCCATTTTAAGAGAATGCTTCATTTAATGATTCATTGCTAAAAAGTAATAATTCATGGTCTATTAACATAATTAAAAAATTCAGCTTTGCCATCACAGGAATAAATTACAATTTAAAATATATTCAAATAGAAAACAGTTATTTTAAATTGGAATAATATATCACAATATTACTCTTTCAAAAACATTGAAAAATACATACATATACTGTATATTTACGCATGTTTGCTTTGATATGAAATAAACTATTTATGACTTGTGCTTCCCAACCAGGCAGGTGTGCATCATGGGCCCTTTATACATTTTTGGTCATGTGACAAAAATAAAGCATTTCTCCTTATAGCTAAAACTTCTCAGTAGGTGTTTGCTTCAACACAGATGAACTCAACACAAAGCAGCAGGTACGTCTGCAATCCCCCAACGTTAATCAAACGAAACAGGAAATCATGCCTCAAAATGCAGAACCAGAAAGATGTTCATCTAGTGAACGGCAAAAATGAGTAAACACAGTTTACACGTCCAGTTTGTCACACCCAAACATGTGCAGGTAGGACGAGGAGAGCAGGAAGTGTCATTTTCTGTCGTAATGTTTTTGCAATCTGGGGCATCAAGCTCCTCTTCCTGTTCCTTCAGTGAATGAATCCCTCATTTTAATGGTGTTTGTCCTCTGCTTGTTCACTGCACTGGAACCACTCATTCCTTTGAAATCTTTGAATCTTACAGGAAGAAATTCAAAGGTCAGTCATAAAAGGATACTTTTTTTAAAAAACATGTTTCTCGCTTCAGATTCTCTTGAGTAGATCACTGGTTTATTCAGAACTCTTCGGGTCTTTGCTGCAGCTTTCATGAACCGCCGATACAGCTGTCAACAGGAACTCCATCATCTGATCATGACAATAGGAGTTACATACAGCAGCCCTCATGTCGGTATGGAGCACCAGAAGTATAAGGGAGGATCTGAATTGTCTGACATGTGAATCATTGAGCAGAACGACCGGTTTTGATGAGTAAGTGATATAGAACCTGTCTGGGGAAAGTTCTGTGTCATGTCTGATGGAAGTTAAATAACAATTTCCTCAAGCAAAAATGAATAATGAGAATGTAATATGCGTCATGAATTCTGCTGAAACTTGGACGCATACTGGCGGCCCCATCAAAACAGGTTTAAATATCTAAATATATCATTCCATTTAAAGCAGCGTTTCAACACCTTTGCTATTTTTTAAATGTTATGTACAATTGATTACATCATTTTATGAAGAATCTTTTAGCAAAGTGGAAACTGGTGTTGGTTACCATGCTTTTCATTATTTTAAGAGTACTAATGGAAATCATTCTTGACAGAATGTCTTTTTTTTATTTACATGACTATATTTGTTGCACATCTTTGCCAACCAACCCCAACATGAATGAATTGTTAATTATTCTAATTTTATATCCATATGCCAACTAACCCCACTCACACTCTTTCCATGCCTGGCATCATCATTCATTACAGGCCTCCAAATTTTAAATCAAAATTCATAAAATGGATAATCCCGGTCCTGGCTTCTGATTG